GTGTCATGGAAAGTTACAGGGTAAAATACAGTGCTAGCAAATTAAATTCCCTGGACTTTTGGACTGGGTTCTCAGGCAGGTCACTCAAATTGCAATCAATAAAATTACTTAATTATGTAAAAACATTGCATAAATATGCACGTAGAATTTAAATCTATATATATATATTTATATATGTTAAGTCTACATGTATATTGATGAAGTTATTTATGTAACCATGTGAATGGGTATATTTATATTTTTATGTATTTATATATACATAGTTATTATATATATATATATAATTTCATTCCAAGTGTATTTTGATATAAATATATATTATCAAAATAAAGTTGGGGGGCGCAGCCTAATCATGCTGACTAGACGTATATCAGGCGAGCTCCCGCTTGGCTCACCGATCGTTGGGGGTAATCATAAACCACTGTTACCAAATCGGGGTGATTCCACACAGCCTAAACTGGGGATGCCGTGGGGAACCCACCAATACTCTTCTCTGAACCCTCCGACGTCGGGGAGACAGAGGAAGGATGCTGAGGGCGACGGGACTGGGGAAGGACGACCGTCTTCCCCGCTCTCACAATTGCCATGCGGCAACTCGCTCTGACCCCCCCCCCCCACCATGGACCGGCGGGGTTATCTCAGTCCTGAAGCCATCATGGACATCTCCTGCAACAAAAGAGCACATACCCAAGCTTACCAAAATGGCGGAAAGGCCTTCCTTGACTGCACAGAGCCTGTCACTAACCTGTGCTGAAGGAAGAAGCGTCAAGGGGTGCCCCTTGCTGAGATTGGAGGCAATATTTCAGCTGAGAGGCTGCGACGGCACAGAGCCATGATCCATCACTCACTGCGGCGGGAGACCACGCTCCGACATAGGTGGCGACAGAGAGCTGTGCTCCAATGGAGATCTGCAAGCCACCTGCACCAGCAACAGCATCTGTGCATTGTGCCGACCCGGACTTTCAGTGCTCGAACCCGCAAGGTACCGAATCATGCCCAAGTCCAGAGAAGTGAGGATGCCCTGATCCGACATCGTCAAGCTGCAACTCCACATGGACTTCAGTACTCCACACTAGGATTGCCAATAGTTGGGGTAGGCTGATGTCTCAACCTCACCAAACACAGGCCCGCTACCCGTGCATGTGATCCAGTCAGAGTCCCAGAGACACTCTTGTAATGCTTTATGTAGTTTCTCTTTATTTAGTTGCTCACCCAAACCTCTTTATACTCGTCCTATTTTATGCATACCACATGGAGCTGTATACTCAAAGTCCAGATCAGCCCAAGTAGTATTTGCTAGACTAGCCTGACCCAATAGTAATAAGTCTATTAAAGTTACGCACACTCTATTTACTCACTACAGGACAGAGTATAGTGCGGATCACTGTTATTTACTGCTCTAAACCTCACACTGAGCCTAGTCTAGTCTGCACAGCATGTAACTTAACCATCTTGTAACTTAGCAATCCTCAGTACCATCGTGCTGCCTACTAATGATCATAACGTTACTCTAACCTGATTTCTAGAATGTTAAGCGTTTCTTACCTACTGACCTTCACTTTTATAAGCCTGTTATTATAATGTAAAAAATTTGCAATTTCTCTATATGCCATGATACTATTATTGTCTGTTTTTCCCATGCTTGTATCGCTGTCGTGGCGTACCCAGCCTATTTGTAATTACTTGCACAACAAAATAAGGAAAAAAAAAATACAGTTAGAATAAAATTACATATATGTTTAAATTGTTTTATTTTTACATTTTTTTAAAATTATTATTTAGTTTTTTATAATATATATATATTATATATAAGACATCCGCGATCCTTAAGGACCATTTTTGTCGGACGTGCCTAGTACGTCCGCTGTTGGGAAGGGGTTAAAGGACAATGATAAAGATTTTTAAAAATCCATTGTTGTACAGTATGCAAGTATGGCCTAATTTCTCATGCAGCATACATACACAGTTATAAATGCAATTGAAATAAAATGTAAATGTGACATGCAAATGTTTGAATACTCAGTACTTATGTACAAATGAAAAAGTATAGGGGGATACTTTTTTCACATCACCCAGCACTATGCACTGATTTTTTTCACCTTTTTGTTTGTTGGAGGAGTTAGACTGCAGCAATAGGGACTTATAGTTTAACTGGCACCCACGAAGGTCTCTTAGGGACTGTCTAGACCAGGGGTTCTTAATCCAGTCCTCAAGGACCCCCTACCAGTCCAGGATTTAAGGATTACCTGGGTGTATCTAAGGTGTTTATAAAAAGGAAAAAAACCACCTTATAGGCTGTGTCTTTTCCCCCTGGTCTAGATAAAGCTGCTGATATTTAGACGCATACATGGGGAAAGCAGTACACATGCACAGCTCACTGGAGGAGGAGGTAGAAAACCTTAGTTACCTTATGAGGACATCAGCTCTTTAGACATCCTAATCAGAATTGCTTTTTGGGGGATCTGGATAAGTTGATGAATCCTATACCACTGCTGTATTTAGTCTGACATATGTGGATCACCAAATACACATATACTTTTTCATTTGTTTGCCCCAAATATTTGGGGTTATTTGCTGCTCCAGTTCCAACCGCTGATCCAATTTTTCAGGATTCTAACAGTACACCCCCTAATGTGGCTTTAAGCCAGTCAACCGCTTAGTTGTACTCTCCCTTATTAACCCCAGAGTTCCACAGTTTGAAATTAGACTATTATCGCTAGGTCTTATTAGACCATATGTTATTTGGGAATCTACCTTTTAAAACCGATGTACTCATTTACATTTGACAATTGAGAGACTCTAAGCTACCGACCAAAATACTACCACTATTTTAATATTAAATGGATAGGATCATTTATGGGTAATACATTTTAAGCAACACAAATAAAGCCTGCTGGTTTACCAATTGGATAATTTATACACCTATCCTCCACTATTAAAGGACCACTATAGGCACCCAGACCACTTCAGCTCATTGAAGTGGTCTGGGTGCCAGGTCCCTCTAGTTTTAACCCTGCAGCTGTAAACATAGCAGTTTTAGATAAATATTTACACTGAGGGTTAATCCAGCATCTCACTGACAGCCACTAGAGGCCGCTTCTGCGATTCTCACTATGAAAATCACAGTGAGAAGATGCTGGACGTCTATAGGAAAGCATTGAGTAATGCTTTCCTACGGGCGGTTTGAATGTTCGTGCGGTTCTTGCCGCGCATGCGCATTCAGTGCTGACGTCGGCAGGAGGAGGAGAGTTCACCAGCGACGAAGGGAGACCCGCACTAGAGAAAGGTAAGTGGCTGAATGGGTTTTAAACCCTTCAGCCCAGTGGGAGGGGACCTAATGACCCTATAGTGCCAGGAAAACAAGTTTGTTTTCCTGGCACTATAGTGCTCCTTTAAGTGTTCACTTCCTCGTTAAGTGTTATATGTTGTACTCAACTTTTATCAGCCTATGTACTTATTAATACCCAAGAGTAATTTCTCTGTGGAGAAATTCCTTATTTTCTTTATTTTGTATATTTCTATGGTTCATGCCCAGAGTGGGTAGGTACCACTCATACTGACCAACTCTCTTGGGAATATTTCTCATACAGGGAATATTAGTCATTTCTTCTATAGGATCCATTTATACCATTTTGAATGTCAGGCTGTAGTTCATTACAGAAAAAAATGCCAGGCTGATCTCCTCTGTACTAGAGACGCAGTAAACCCAGATACATGTTTTAGCCTTGATGGGCCTCATCAGTGAGGTGTGGCTGATACTCCTCTAGACACAATGAAATATGGGTTCACATCTAGATTACTCTTCTGCCATAGGAAAATTCTAAGAATTTGCAAATAAACAAAAACAAAATTCAAGAAAGCTGTGAGAATTGACAATAACACAAATAGCTTTTTCTTCTACAGGTCCAAGCGCAGGTCTCAAGCAAGTTTTTTGCTCATGATCATCGCTTTATATGTGCACATAGAGCTTGTGGGGCCGGGGCCTCCCAGGGCAGTCATGGTTGTCATGCCCTGACCATGTCAGCTACTTCTTGGCTCCATATTGCCAGCTGCAAAGGTAATAAGGAATCTATCAGTATCGTGCTGCTTTAACCCTGTGCACACTGTGTGCTGAGAGCTAAAGTTATCAGAACAGGAGCATGTGTGTAGGTAGTGGGTACCGTGTAGTGTGACACCAGAATTCCCCATTCCATTCACCCTCTTTCCAATGAAGACCTTAGATATACTTATGGTATAAAATAAGACACAGCTTTATATACAATTGAACAAATATTGTTTACCATAACTTAACATATTATATTATTTAACGTAACTCTTCCTTGCCAATTCATCCCACCATTAATCCCGAATCCTCCTGAGGCCTGTCCTTCCTCCTTGTCCTAACTACTAACTGGCCTCCAACTT